AATAAACTCTCCCTAGATGAAAGAGCCATTGTCCTGTACTGTATGCTATAAGAATGCCACCATTATTGTCCATGAAATCATCAGTCAGAAGTGCAGAAAATACCAATACAGAAAAAGTGTTGGGGCTAGAGCACAATGTGGTCTACTGCATCATTTCAGGGAAAGCCACATACTCATCTTCAGAATACATCACCCTTGCCCTCATACCATCACGACATCACCCTAGCTCTCATACCATCACGACATCACCCTAGCCCTCATACCATCACGACATCACCCTAGCCCTCATACCATCACCACATCACCCTAGCCCTCATACCATCACGACATCACCCTTGCCCTCATACCATCACGATATCGCCCTAGCGATCATACCATCACGACATCACCCTAGCGATCATACCATCACGGCATCGCCCTAGCGATCATACCATCATGGCATCACGCTAGCCCTCATACCATCACGGCATCACGCTAGCCCTCATATCATCACGGCATCACCCTAGCCCTCATACCATCACGACATCTCCCTAGCGATCATACAATCACGGCATCACCCTAGCCCTCATACCATCACGACATCTCCCTAGCGATCATACCATCACGGCATCACCCTAGCCTTCATACCATCATGACATCGCCCTAGCGATCATACCATCATGACATCACCCTAGCGATCATACCATCACGACATCGCCCTAGCGTTCATGCCATCATGACATCACCCTAGCGATCATACCATCATTACATCGCCCTAGCGATCATACCATCATGACATCACCCTAGCGATCATACCATCACGACATCGCCCTAGCGTTCATACCATCATGACATCGCCCTAGCAATCATATCATCACGACATCTCCCTGAACATCATGAAATAACCCTAGCCATCATATCATCATGACATTGCCCTAGCAATCATACCATCATGTTATCCCCCCTAGCCATCATACCATCAAGACATCACCCTAGCAGTCGTATAATCACGAAGCTGACGTGTCATTGTAATTAATCTACTTGAGCAACCAAACTTCTCCATTATCTTCCACACCCATAGGTGATCCCTACTGACTGAGTCAAATGCTTTGGTTTGATCAACAAGGGTGATGAACAGACAACTGTGTGGGTCTTGGCGCTGAGAGAACACTTTCATATAAACACACACACACACCTCAAGTTAATATTAAAACAACCGTACCGTTATGTGTGTGTGTGTGAAAACAATCATACATGTCTGTCATTTGATTGGTAGATTTCGAATAATTTACAGCAAGTGAATTGTAATGCTTTGGAGTTGTCCAGTCTAGGTAGGCTTTAGCTGACAGTTTATAAAACTGCTATTTCAAACAGCAGACTAGCTTGGCGCTTCTCGTATGCGAGCCTACACTCAGCCATGATTTCTAAGAAAAATAAGTGCAGGTATCTATTTAGTTTCGGCATCTGAAGATCATCAGTCATATCGACAGTTCTTGTGCATTATGCCCTACTACTTGTACAGTTCCACGTATTAATAGATATTGAATTTCGGCAACTGCATGCCGTAAATCATCTGTACAACAAGCAATAATCTGCTCGTTACTTGTGGATTATAGACAAAAATGTGCATTAAATTTTAATTTTTTAAATTTAAACTAAAATAAAAAACAAATTAGCATAAGCAGGACCAAACCGGCTATAAGTGTATTAATCGAGGTTACTGGAAATTCGTACGAAGAAAAACTATTCTACGAAAGTTTAATAGAATGGAAATGTTTTTGAAATGGAAGATTGTCCAAAATGAATTAATGGGGATGGGGGGGGGGGCAATAACAAATACATTTTATTAATTGAGATTTGAAGCACTTCTCACTGGCACAGTCTTTAAACAAATTAATTAATAAATCTCCGTTTAGCAAATTTAATTTGGCACAAATCTCCGTCGAACAATTTTCTTTGAACAAAGTTCTCTTGCACTAATTTCCTGATGCCATTAATTAAGGTTAATTACCAACATAATGTAATTTTAAGGGAAACAACTCTTTCAGATGTGAAGTAAATCTGTTTTTTTTTATTTGTCCCATGACAACACTTTCCTGTTGATGTCCCCCTCGAACGCTACATTTCAGCAAAATGATCTTTTGATTTTACTTTGTTTTCACTGTCGTTTGTTCGCTGATGAAGGCTTCTTGCCGACAGCTTCGTTGTTTTTTTTTTTTTCTTTCAGGTTTTCCCATACTCTGTTTCGTTATTTCCATTTATCTAACCTGACAATGATTGCTTTCTTCACCCTTATTATCATTAAAACAAATTGAACCGCTAAAGACTTGGATGATCTCTATTGTCATCAATTCAGAAAGTTGTCACTGGTAGACTGGTAGGCCTAACTTTAAAAAAACACATTTTCAACAAAATAAAAGTATTTTTAAAAATAAGTCTAGTCCTATATAACCCCGACATTTCTGTATTTAAATTAGTGTGCACCCCTTTTCCTCAAAAAAATAACTTTGCTTTTGTTCGTGGCTGGCAAAATCTTCGTGCGGCTAATTGACCCACTTCTCGTCAATATATGACGCTGAAACTTGACAAATAGACAACACGTTCTATTAAAATTTTTAGGCACACCCAACAACCCGAAAAATCAGTTTTTTCTTGTTTTTCAATGTGAAGATGAAGTAAATATAATGACAGTGATTTAATAAATTTCCCGATAAATGCGAAAATGAAATTTAAAAAAAAAATAATAATAATATCGCAAGTGCGTTACATGCGTAATATTTGCATTTTTTCTGCAATGGTGAAATAACTCTGCCGTGTGAAAGCGGTGGCTCATTCAGGGGCGGGAAAACAAAAATGTGTGGTTGTGAGCCTTGAAAAAAAAATGGTAGGGGACGCAAGCACTGATTAAGATTCGTATGAAGTTTAAAAAAAAAAAAAAAGTGCGTTGGCGTTACGTTCATGTATGTTTTGTCGAATTTTAAGGCCACCCCCATTGCTAGATATTTCATTTTAAAAAAAATTAAATTATACCAAAAAAAAAAAAATTTGTTTGTAGTGGTTGTCAAATTTTCAGTACAAAGAGAGAAACTCTCAATTTATATCATCTATAAAAATACCTAAAACTATTTTGATAATAAATATAAGAATGAGCTATGCTGACGTAACGCCAAAGAGCCGAAGTTTTTTTTTAGATATGTTCGGATTCTTAAAAACAATCATAGTTATTTTCTATTATTTTAAGAAAATCGAATAAATTTAAATGCTCAAAAAATATTACATATCCGCTTTAATTTTAGCAAAAGTTTAGGCATAATTATTATAGATTACAAATATATTTGAAGTAACAACTAAGGAACTATTTTAAGCCTTTTATCGGAATTTAAAAGTTATGAAAAAAAATAGTAATCAAAAGATTATGATCTAAGAATATCGGGAAAACCCAAACATCTATTATCCTCAGTGCTAGTGTTAGTGCGTTGCTAATATTGCGAAAAAAATACTATTAATTTGATCTAAATAATAACGCAAATGACGTCATTGCACGATTGTTTGATTTTGTAACCATGCGTGAAAAAACTGATAATTTATTTTCAGTTTCTTAAAAGTAAAATTAATAAATATACTGAATTAAATTTTAAAATGCTAAAATTTTCTAAAATTAAATACAACTCAAGCTTCGTATTTTTAACATTTAATAAGTTTTTAACTTTTTATTCTTTCCAAAAATATATGTTTATGACATTTAAACTCAACCTTTAGATAAACTTTTAATAAGAAAATGCCGTTTAATGCATTCAGTGCAGCAAAACAACATATCCAAATAGCATTCACTAAATGCACTTATCACTCATCCTAATAAGAACAAAGCGTGTGATATGTTTAAAAAAATGTGTAAGTTAAGGTGTTACAATTTCGTGGATGATTTTGTTATTTTTTTGGTAAACTCTGCTTGTGGGGGGGGGGGGGGGGGGGGGGGGGGGGGAACCCAAGATTTTTTTTATTGCCATTGGGGGGGGGGGTCAATCGCTACAAATGTATGCGGCTTGTTCACGCGGTGTAAAACCTTCTAATTTATTTGTGTATGCACCAGACGGAAAAAGATATATTTAAAAAAATACTTCAAAAGCACAATTAAAACACAAACGCTTTTTTCTTTGAGTGGCATTTCAACGCATGCCGGGTTCTCACTAGGGGTCGCAATCCGGGATCCCGAATTTCGAAAATACCAGAAAACCGGACCATAATTTATGCTCCAAAAAAACCGGGATTGGATTTATGAAAACCGGAATTTTCGGTAATCCCGGGATTTCATCTTCAGTTTTTTTTTAAATCCTTTTTCTTAGTTTCCATGTCGTAGTTAAAGCAAGATATATCAATAATTTATAAGATGTGCAAATCCCAAACACCATGTGTCTCAAGTTCAACGAGAGCCGCCCAACGGCCTAGATCTGTGTACTCTTATTTGTCAAGAATCAGGACGTTGTGATTTGTTTTGTTTTTACATCGTGCGTGTGTAGTGTGTAAGTGGAGACGAGTCACGACGTGGAGGTACAGGATTGGTAAGTAATTGTTTTCATATTATTGACAAATAAGTGATTGGTATAGTCGAATGGAGATCGAATTTAGACTTCCATTAAGAGTTTGTATGGAAATAACAACACGTTGCACTCAAATCACCAATCACGGGGCCAAATTTTAATAACAATAATTATTGATTACTTGATTTCTTTTATTTATGCGAAAACATCTAATTATTTACAACTATGAATTTATCCGTATTTTGATAATCAAATACCTTAAGTTTAAAACATAGAAAAATTATGTTACTTCTATTTTGTGATAACAATATTAATAATTTACATTCACCTCATGATTGATATTCGAGCTATTTTGTCTTTAGGCGAATGTTCCAATTTGTCTGTACCGCACGTAGCCAAACATTGACATGAACATTTAAACATTAAAAAAAGTTTTACACGTCAACACAATTCGATTGAATTAATAATTTATTTTCCATTCAGGTTGATAGAAAGAAATTTGGGGACCCTAAAAAAAAAATAAACCTAAATTTGAAAAGCATATGAAACTATCGGAAACAAAAACATTTCTTGAAAGCTACAGACAATCTCTCGGCTAAATGTATTAGATGTAGCAAGATACTTAAAACATTTGGAGGTACAACTTCAGGCCTTCACTCTCATTTAAAGTCTGCACATTCCAGTGACTACTTGGACGTATTTCTAAGGCCAGATTGCGACCAGATGCGAAAACATATCGTGGATATTCAAAAGCTTGGCCAGACAGCGGCTTCCTCGTTGGAAATATCTATGATCAATGAAATTGAACATCTTGGATCTGAGCATGATGAACTTGAAGACACACTGCTGCTTATCAGAGACAAATAGAAATTGAAATACAAAATAAACTTCAGGTTCAGGATAACACGTCCAGACCAACGGATGGAGACATTGATAAAAACAGAAAATGGATTTGTTTGAGAGTGGCGGTTTAAGAGGAAAATATCAGAAATTTCCAATGATAGCCTAAGGTATATTCCTTCGACAAGTGTGGAGTTAGAGCGGGTGTTCTCTTCATAAGGTTACTTTTGTAACAATTGCGGTCAAAGTTAAGTGACCAAACATTATACACTATGTCATTTTTACGATTTCATTATTTAAATTTGAACAAAGATTAAAACAACACCAATTATTTTAATATTTGATTAATTAAACTATTTAAATTAAAAAGTTAAGAATATTATTTTTGTACGTTCGATTAAAGTCTGAAGTTAAACATATGTGTTATTGTTAAAAGCTTATTAAGAATCAAAATGTGATAATTGTTTCTGAATTTTTTTATTTCATTGATAAATCCTCACCTCTAATCTTGAATTTCGACTAAAAATTCTCTAAATATAAAAAAAAATATCGAAAATACCAGGATTCCGGTATTCTTAAATTTAGTATCGAAAATACCGGTTTTGGCAAAAGGGGCCGGTTTTGCGACCCCTAGTTCTCACTGGTTATTACAGAATTTAGCTAACTTTTAGTCCGTCACATGACTTAAGCTTTTAAATCTAAAAATAAATAATGACTAATAAGATTGAAGCTTGTCACGTTCTAAAAATAGATACACTGTCGTAAACTATTTCACAATGTAGTAGTCTATATATATGAAAATAGATTTAAAAAATAATTGTTTTTAATTATTTTTTTTTTCAAGTGAGACTTTAGGACAAAAATTTAAAATTTGAGGGCAAAAATAAAAAAAAACTTATTGAATGAGAAACAAAAACAGCATTTATAAGGGAGACCACAAAACAATCTTAATAATTTGTATAGAAATTTACCGTCCACCCAATCAAATGAAAATCGCTCATTCCAACCGCATCTATTATTGTCGTTTACTGAGAGTAAGCACTTCCTGCTTCCTGAGTCAGACTCACAGGCGAAAATAACAACGACAAGACATACTGAGTTTACATTTTGAAATTGCAGGGGATAATTTGCAAAACATCCATTCTATTTGAAAAAAATGAGTCTCTTAAAAAAACTTTTTGGAGATGGTAAAAAGGACAAAGCGCCAACACCACAAGAGGGAATACAAAGACTACGTGAAGTGGAGGAGATGCTGATGAAAAAATCAGATTTTTTGGAAAAAAAGATTGATGCAGAGATTGCTATTGCCAGAAAAAGTGGTACTAAAAACAAAAGAGGTAATCTTTATTATTTAGTATTTAAACAAATCAAGTGGCGTTATAATAAGCCTAATAGTAATAGCAGGGGCTAGGCATAGATATGTCTGATCAACTGTAATCTATCACTTGAATAGCTACTTTGTAGTTACTTTGATAACAAAATTAAAACTTTTTTTAAAAATAAACCATTGGCATAGTTGAATAGAGCTAATTTTTAAAAGAATAATACCAAAATCATACTTTTAGCTGTTGTAGTTTTAAAGTTATGAAATTTTAAAGTGCGACTTAATTTGTCCTTTTTAACATGGACTGCATCTCCATTTTCTGGGACCCAATTCCGCTGTTCGTGTCACGAGCTATATAACTCTTGCTTAATGATAATTTTATTTTCAGAACTAATGCTGTATTAAAAAAAATAAGTTTAATAATGTCAGCAATTATAGATAAATTGTAGCTTATCTAACTATGCACTATTTATATCAGTAAATTTAATATAATGTATTAATATACGGCTTTTCTGTTTACCAAATCTACGACGTCCATTATACCGCTATTTGCTATATAGTCTATATAAGGCAACTCATGCTGAATTACGAAAATACTGTTTGGGAAGTATTGAACTTTCAACTTTGGTACATGACTAATTAATTAAAGCTTTCCCTGACCTAGTTTAATAGTTTTTGCACACAGCAAATTTTTATGAATGAAAACTCAGAGAGTAGTATATAATGGCCATTATGCAAGTCACTGTGAATGGCTGCCATGACATTTTTCATCATTTATAATATGGACTCTGCCGAGTTTTTAACCTCAAATTAAATTATTATTCTTTCAATAATATTTAAATTCATTCTAAAACATAAGTTATCAAATATTTTGATGTAAATAGTGGAAATAATTAAATATTTCCTAAGTAACGACGACTTCCGCCACTGAAAGTGGGGCGTGGCCACTTCCTTAACAAAATTGGGCTGAGCTTCAGTACCATATAGGGGTTTACTCTAGTGAGCATAACAAGTGACCAACATATCCTAACGCAATGAAAATTGACACAAATACACATCGATAGCTAATACAGAATAAGACTTTTTTTTTAAAGACATAAAAGTTGAACTTTTATACGAATTTTATTGTGAAAGATGCCTTATATTTAAAGGGGAATCTCAAAATACAGGTCGTTTGAAAAATTAAAACAAATCAATGTAAATGTAGTCTAAGATGTCTACCTAAATATAAGGCCAGAAACGGAACTCAAATATATGTCGAAAGTACTCATTTAGTAATAAATAGACCCACCTGTCAGAAAATTAAAATCTCTGATTTTTCGGTGCCGATTGCCATTTCCGAAACACAAAAAGTAGTAGACTCCCTTGGAAAACCGAAAGAATCTAACTTGAACATCGGCCAAGAAAAAATCCATTAGTTCCAGTTGGAAGGGCTATTTAAACAACTATTCTTACATTGGAGTCCGTTAATATTTTTGCTTCCATATAGGCTAAAGTTATTTAGCACAATACTAATACATTTAAATAATTATTACTACCAAGTTACTACCGATATGCCAGGAAGAAAAAGAGACTACAATAGCTCCGATGCCCGAAGTGTTTGATACTGATCAGATACGAAACGAAGAAGAATGGCAGCTGTCCGTAAAACTGCCGGATTTGTCAGACCCCTTAATCAGCACCTAAGATGACGCATCAACAAAACTTTTTTGATCCACATGACGCGGATGTCCACACACAGCATGTGAAAAACAGGGATGCTCGCAAAGCGCTAACGGAAAAGACCGTTTGGCACAAGCCGTGATATTTCCCCTTCATATTTACATGAATTCATGTTCCGCAACCATTTTCATGGAAATGATATATTTAAAAACTTCATTGTCACCTTGAGGGAGAACTTGATACATAATTCCATTTTCACACGTTAAATTGTTTAACTCATTCCCTCCTGCAATGCTACTTCCGTATTTAATTTATTTTCCTGAGAAAGGGAAGTAACCCTGTTTTGAAATTGTTTACATTTTTTAAATATGTATTTAAGCTACTAAATATTTTTTAATGTTAATGAATTTAGAACAAATGCAACAAAAAATGAATAAGGTTTAATATAAATATAACATTAGCGGGGAAAAAATAACGAACAATGACCAAAAAATCGATTTTCGGCACCTTGGACAAACACATGCTACATTTAGACGCACTGTACTAAAGCACACGTAGTTTTAAAGTGAAAGAAGATAAAAACTTCCGGTTTTTTAAATTAAAATCACGCTGAACCACGCCATCGCAGTAAGTCTCGAGGGATGTGAGATTTCATTGCTATTTTTAAATAGATATGAGAGAGGTGTGTCGCTATGCGCCGGGACGCACTTGGACGCATCCGGCCAAACCCGTAAAAGACGCATTTAGTCCCAAACGTCGGGAATGAGTTAAATTCTTCTAATTTAAAAAAAAAAATTGTTATAGTTTTTCTATTTTTAAACATTGTCTTGTGTTATTTGTATTAGTGCTATTATTGGAATGAATACGTACAATCAGTGTCATTAAAAATAATATAAGGCTAATTGTTCAATCAACCGGAACAACTGGATTTTTTCTTGGCTGGCGCTCAGATGGTAGATTACCGATCATCTACTTATAGTAGGTAGTTTAGGCAAAAAATTTTTTCTTTTAAATAATTATTTTGATATTACAGTTCTTTAGAGCCAATTTCAAATAAACAAATGAAATCAGAATAAACTTTTTAGCCTAAGTACTTTTTGAGATACACATTTTTAAAGTGTGAGTTCATTTGATATTTTTTACTGTGGACGAAACCTCCACATTTTGTGACCTCATTCTGCTGATTGCTGATGACGATATAGTGTATATAAGGCAAGCATCCCCTTATTACTAAAATACTGTTTAGCGTCAAATTATTTTAAGCTTTCAACTTTGGCACATGAATAATTAATTCAAGCTTTCCCTGACCAATAGTTATATAGTTTTTGCAACACGGCAAACTCTTATGAATGAAACTCTGAGGTAGGACTATGATATAACCATTGGCTGTAAATGGTTGCCTGTGACAACGTGTTGCACACGGAAAATTCTGAACACCGGGTTTTTAAAGCTCAAATTAAAACGTTCCAGTTTAAATGTCTTCAAAAGCATTCTGAAACAAGTTATCAAATATTTTGATGTAAATAGTGGTAATAATTAAATATTTCCTAAGTATCGGGATCTTCCGCCATTAAAAAGGGGGTACGGCCCACGCCATGTCGAAATTAGGCTGAGCGGCCTTATGTTAATGCGAGTTACAGGGACAGGCCTGACAAATGTCGGATACGACCTACATCAATGAGAAATAATAATAATAATAATAAAGTTCATTTCAAAAACACGCTTCATCCCCATAGGCTCGAAGCGCGGTACAAAGTCAACAAAAAACAAATCTATAATTTACCACATTTAAAACAAACGCAACACAGCCAATATGCATTAACTGGAAAATAAGGTAGACAATCATCCCAGAAGGTGTTTTCGAAATAGATGTGTCTTTAAATCGGTTTTAAAGGACTCCAGTGTCTAGTTGTTTCTGAGATCGACAGGAAGGGCGTTCCAAATTGGTGGACCAGCAAATGCGAAAGTGCGCTTTCCGTAAGCCTCAAGGCAAACACATGGTGTCGAGAGTTTGCAACTATCGGATGAGCGGAGCTCTCTAGTGGGTACATAAGGCGTCAGCAGCTCTTTCAGATAGGACGGTGCCAGGTCATGTAAGCAGCGGTAGCACAAAGTTGCGATTTTGTATTCTATGCGAGCACGCACCGGCAGCCAGTGCAACTCTCTCAGAAGTGCTTTTGCATGGTCGAACTTGCGTTTGCGGAGAACAATGCGAGCCGCATTATTCTGTGCTATTTGAATTTTATCCAGGAGCGTAGCTGGAAGACCCACCATGAGAGCATTGCAATAGTCCATGCGTGATAGCACAAATGCAGACATCAGCCTCTTTGTTGTATCAATTGTTAGGAAGGGCCTGATGTGACTAATCCTGCGCAGCTCCAGAAAAATCGCCTTGCATAGCATGTTAATATGACTTTCAAAAGTTAGTCTTCTATCTAGGTAGACACCCAGGTACCGCACTGTTTGAGCTAACTCAATACGCACACCTGAGAGAGTAATGGGTGTCGTGTTATTTGCAGATTTTTTATTCTGAGCGGTCGCGATGGGGAGCAGCTCAGTCTTATCATTTAATTTGAGCTTGTTTATGGTCATCCAGCACTTAACCGACTCCATTGTCTTCTGTGTCATACTGAGCAGCTGAGGGAACTGAGATGGGATCACGGATTGATGAAGTTGTGTATCGTCCGCGAACATGTGATACAACATGTCAAACTTCCTGATCTCTGCACCCAGGGGCTGAATGTACATCGTGAAAAGCACCGGGCCAAGGACCGAGCCCTGGGGTACTCCGAATTCGATATTAGATTTCTTCGAGGTCAAGCCGTTTGAAATAACTGACTGGCACATGTATACATCAATATACAAGGCTTTTCCAATTTAATATGAAAGACCTTTTTTTTTTAATTTAACAAAAAATTTTGCATGTGAAGATGCCTTATATATACCAAATATTTTCAAAATTAAGGTCGATTGAAAAAGCAAACTAGCTGGATGGAAATGTAGGCCAATATGTCTTCCACTGTGAAAAGGTGGAAGTGGAACTCAAATAGATGTCAAAAGTATTCATGTACAAAGGAATTGACACTCACATTAACAAATTAAAAAGGCGAATTTTACTGTACTGATGCCCATTTCTAATAAAAAATTTGAAGTGTTCTCCCTTGCTTTACCTAAAGCAAACCCCTTAAAAATTCGGATTTTCTCAAACGTTATAATTTTTCACCCGTTATGAAAAAATCCGAAAGAGACCAAAAAGATATATCTGGTACGACATCTTGATGTCAATTTTGCTCTCTACTGAATGGGGAGAGTGACCTTCTAACAAATAGCTCTTTCTAAACACATCTTGATGTCAATTTTGCTCTCTTTGCTTTTTTAGAAATGCCAAAAAATGGCACTGAACTAGTGCTCATGACAATATTCATAGTCTTTTGTCTATAGAAAATAATCCAGACCTACAATGTGATTTAATTTTTTTATTAATGATATTCTTTATTAACTGCAGTTGCACTTCAGGCTCTCAAAAGAAAGAAAAGATATGAAAAACAGCTACAGCAAATTGATGGAACATTATCAACAATTGAGTTCCAACGAGAGGCCCTTGAGAATGCTAGCACAAATACAGAAGTCCTTAGTGTTATGGGAATAGCAGCCAAGGCGTTAAAGGGCGCTCACAATAACCTGTAGGCCATCATATTTATTCATTTGACTTAAGATTCAATTTAAATAGGTGCATTTTTGTACATTAAAATAACTAAGATAATGAAAATAGAAAGTAATTGTAATAAGGTGTGGATATTTCTTTTATTCATTTGAAATTAAAGCTTTTAATACCTAAACATTATTTCTATACATTGATTTTTTAAAATCCAGAATTAAATTAGTTTTTATTCATATATTTTTGTATCAGTGATGTGGATAAAGTACATGATTTAATGGATGATGTGGCCGAGCAACAGGAAGTAGCCAATGAAATTTCAGATGCTATCTCACATCCTGTAGGTTTTGGTCAAGATCTAGATGAGGTAAGTCTTGTATGTTATATTCAGGGTTGCCACTTTTCACGATTATCCCAGAAGTCCGGATTCGTGAGGCTAAATATTTTTCAGCCCTGGATTCATGAGTTTTTATTTTCTCTCGCTCTGGATTCGTCAGTTCAGTTTATTCACGTATGGATTCTGGGTTTTTAAAAAAAAAAATCAACCTGTTCAGTGAAAAGCGACCTCTCGCTTTTGTTTTTAATCATTGCACAAGAAATTATTTATGAGTTTTGTTAAGTTTCAGGATTTAAAAAATTGTAAATAAATTTTCAGGTTTCAAGAAATATTTAGAAAGGGAATACGGGGTTCAAAGCTTTCAGTGAGTGGCACCCCTGGCTATATTAATCACTTATCATTAAAAAAACTGCTATAATAGATTTGCAGTCATGTTTATACTTTGTCTCTTTGACTGGTTTTCTGAATATGTCTAATAAATCCTGGGTACCAAGTGTGAGAAAGCCAGCTATATTCAGTAAACCAACTTAAGCCTTTGTGTGATTGTCTGGTTGAACTTACATCATGCCTGGACCCCACTTTCATTGGTTGTATTTCAGGATGACTTGTTGGCTGAGCTGGAGGAGTTGGAGCAGGAAGAGTTGGACCGACAGCTCCTGGAGGTGGGAGGGGCAGAGGATCTGCCTAGTGTGCCCACAGCAGAGCCTACGGAAGCTCGCAAGGCAGCCCCTGCCAAAGGTAGACTTGTACTCGTTATTTCAATGATTATCTCTCTTTGCTCTATGGACATACTTCATGCTGTATGATAGTTATAAGCCAATTAATTTTAAAAAAAGATTTTTTGGTTATAATTCTTGTTAGAACTTGCAGCTAAATTAATGACAACAATATGAGTTTCATTGTTTATTTCCACAACACCCACATAGTGAAATTGAAGTTTTTGTTTTCTAAATGCATTTCAGCTCACCATACTGAAGATGACGATGATATGAGGGAGCTGGAGATGTGGGCATCGTAGAGATGCGTCCTCTCTATCTAAGCATACAGCAAACTTCAGTGAAGCAGATGGATAAATGAGACACTCTTAGGTTATTAACAATATCTGAGCATTAAAACTAGTTGCCAGCCAAGTTTTCTACCAGTTGAAGCTGAATCTTTCCTGGCCTCTCTTAATAGTTTTACACTCTTATCAGAGTCTGGAGACTCCACCCTACTCAAGAAATTAGTCATGTGATGCTCAAGAAATTGTATTTTGTCACCACTGGGGGGGGGGGGGTGAGTCGACCCCCCTGTGGGGAGGTCTTCACCTTATAAAATACAGATTTTAAACTTATTTCATGGAGATAGTAAATATAGTTGATGTATTTGAAACCAAATGAATCCCGGTAGTAAGTTGATAATTAAAATACAGATATTTATAAGTTCCCTAAATAGTTAATGTTTGCAATGTACTGGGTTTTCCTACTTATCTTCAATGTCTTGCTTGGAGGATTGTCCTAAAGATCAGAACTTCTGCTTTGCTGGTACTGATCAATTAAATAGTTATTTGGAATTCACTACAGTTTCTGGTGACGCAGGCAACAGCCCATTTTCTTCTCAGTAATTATGTTTACGAGTCAAGCCCAAGTTATCATTGTGTACATATATGAAATGAGTCTGTGTGTGGTGTCTCTTTGTTGATAAACTGTTGCTCTATGGTTTACAATTCTAATGCAAAATGACATCATGGGGTTTCTTTGTTAATAACTAGAGGGTACCTTTTCTCACCAGGAACCTACAAGTACAGTACACTATAATACTGTCAGATAGATCATATACAATAATACTGAAAAACAGATGCTATACAATAAAACTGACAACTAAATAGATATTATACAATAAAAAAACTGAAATATAGGTAGATACTATAAAATACTACTGACTCATTGGAGCAATACTGTAAATAAATACTGACAAAGCAGTACCTTGTGGCCTGATGTGAGAATAGTCTTCATTTATTTTATTGATTGCCTTCCTTACCGGCAGTCTTGAGGTAAAAAAAAAGATTATGTAATAGTGGGTTTAAATGGAGATGACATCAGGGGCTAATGAAATTACCCACGCAATGGTTCAACTGTTGTGTGGCCATGAATTGTTAGGTTTCCTAGGTGAGAAAAGCCATGTATTCACTAGAGCTATTCCTTCATGTCCTATTTCTATCCATCTCAATGTTGTGTGCTTTCAACTGATCTTTGTCCTCAGATTCTTACATTTAAACTTGAGAAGGATGGTAGAGAGCTGCTCCAAACTTAAAATCATTTATGAAAGCTTGTACATTTTTGTAATGGTTATTATTATGAATTATGTTTGTGTGACTAGGACAGATTGCATTAACCGACATTGATCAAATGTACTACTTTCAATCAAGTGTTAGTCTCTACATTAACCGACATTTGATCAAATGTACTACTTTCAATCAAGTGTTAGTCTCTACATTAACCAAAGTTGATCAAATGTACTACTTTCAATCAAGTGTTAGTCTCTACATTAACCAAAGTTGATCAAATGTACTACTTTCAATCAAGTGTTAGTCTCTACATTAACCGACATTTGATCAAATGTACTACTTTCAATCAAGTGTTAGTCTCTACATTAACCGACATTTGATCAAATGTACTACTTTCAATCAAGTGTTAGTCTCTACAATAACCGACATTTGATCAAATGTACTACTTTCAATCAAGTGTTAGTCTCTACAATAACCGACATTTGATCAAATGTACTACTTTCAATCAGGTGTTACAGTCTGATAATGTAATGATGATGTCACGTGAGTGTGATTTTTGTGTTGATTCCATATCTTGATAGGTTTTGTTAATTTCTTACCCGCTAAGCCCTTCCATCGGGCCGGTTAAGCTAACTCTATGTGATTGGTATATTTATAAATGTGCAAACTGTATTTGTTTCAATTAAATTGTGATAAATTGATTGGACACTTCTATTTTAGCTCTTTTCTTATACTCTCAGCTTGAATTGCAATGATACACGAATTTACTATTACTGATTAATCAACATACGCCCATTAATCAGCAGATGCCCATTAATCAGCAGATGCTCATTAATCAGCAGATGCCCATTAATCAGCAGATGCCCATTAATCAGCAGATGCCCATTGATCAGCAGATGCCCATTAATCAGTAGATGCCCATTAATCAGCAGATGCCCATTAATGAGCTGATGCCCATTAATCAGCAGATGCTCATTAATGAGCTGATGCCCATTAATCAGCAGATGCCCATTAATCAGCAGATGCTCATTAATCAGCCCATGATTATTATTTAATAAAATATTATATATTTTACTTTGAAAATGTTTATAGTTATTAAGCAGTGAATTGGGGGTAGTCAAGAGCTGCTGTTAGGGTGAGAAATTAGGTGATTATAAACTAGTAAAGAAAGTCCCAGATGATTCTCAAACCCTGAACTCTTAATTTTTGGACGGAGGGATTTAACCTCAGATGGCCACCACTTAAACAGGAACATCACCGGCCGAGTTCTGTAAGGCAACTGATGACTTTTGAACAGTTGACGTGTGATTATGATTGAAAGTATTCATGCGGTTTAAGCATCATTTTTTATAAAATGTCTATTTCGTGTGCATCATAAGTGTCTGCTTATCTAATTTGGTCATAAGGAAAACTGTCCCCGTCCTCCCCCCTCACCGGCTGGACCACGGCTATACTGATGGGTACATGAAGCTATACAATCATAAGAACTCTCCTGGTAAATCACCTGATACACACAATTCTTAAAAGCTGCATATTCCCCCTGTTAGTCATATTACCCCAGTTAGTTATTTTCCCCGCAGTTACTCATATTCCCCGCAGTTAGTCATATTCCGCCCCATCAGTTAAACAGATTTACAAAAATCTTGATTCTTTGATTGGCCATTGAATTTTTATACTAATACTAATACTGTTTTGTCCTAAGCATAAATCACAAAGTGATCTTACGGCACACATCCAAATGAGTCCAATAAATCATCGTATACATTCTAAGCATGGCGTGAGCAGGAGAATGAATTGGTCAAATGACCCAGATATACCAAAATAGACCTTAAATTGGTTTGTTAGGTCAGTTAGACCTATTTAGGTCTTCAGAGCTCTGACAAAAGGCCGCTCTGTTTATATTGTGTGAACCCTTTTTTTGTGTTAGCATCGACAATGGCGCATCATTGTTATTTTGAGTAATCTGTTAAACAAGGCAAATTTCAACAGACGGACACAATGGCTGATTAAAGTGCAGAAAAAGCAGTGGAAGTGGAATTGTCCGCTCGACATCAACACACGCATTTTGAAGCTGAAGATTTTGATGAAAGTTTAAAGCTTAAAGTCTAGAACGAATGACTCACTCTTAGTTTGTTCACATGTGCTGGCTGTTGAAGCAGAAAATTGAAAAGAATAAAAACAGCATCAATTAAACCTGAGTGCTTTGTTTTTAGGTCAAAGTTCAGAGAGCAGCAGAGATTTGATGTTTGCACATAATTTCAACTCAAGATATTTATGACATCAAAAAAAGAAAATCGTTTTCAAAGTTCATGACATTTTGTTTGTTTCATGTTAATTTCTCAGCCGGGCACTTTGAACCAGTTATTATTTATTTGGTAATAGAAAGTCAATACATTAAATCAAGATTTATTTGGTAATTTAAAGTCAATACATTAATTCAAGATTTATTTGGTAATTTAAGATTCAAATTCAATTGGTAATGAAAGGTTTAACCCGCCTAAGTTTCTGATTGTATTTGCCATTTCAATGTTGGTTAACTGACATGCAAAAGTACCTTTCTAAATAATAATGTTGCTGTATTCCAATGATTCCATCATCACTCATTAGGATTCACATCACTTAGCATTTAAATCAAGAGTTAGTTCCCATGGGACAATTATTTGCACTCACCTCAAGTTGGAAACATAAAAATTTAATAATAAGTAGAAATATAATTTTGTTTTCTTTTTAAATATCCATGGAGCTTTCTTTGAATCTAGAACACTGCAATCAGAATTCCACAAATCACCCTACCTCAATTCAGAGACATGGCTAGGATTAGGGGGGGGGGGGGGGGGGCAATCCTTTTGGACACACAACCCTTCAGCGTATAGAAATGCCGCTCCTCAATATAAAGGAGACCACAAGAGCACCCCCGCCCTACTCCTATGCTATTGCCCCTTATTGCAGAAGCCACTAATACAGAAGAGTAAGCTGTGCCCAACTGATAGGATTTATCATATCCCCTGATCTATTTGATATGTCCTTTTAATTTTAATCAATTTGTTTACTGGGTACAGTATTCCGATGGACTGTATGGGATTATGTTATTCGGATGTGATAAAATCATATCAGTTTGCTTGATCCATGTTTCAAGAAATATTGTGTTTGTATTAGTGAATGTGTGCATGCAATTGATTAGCATATGAGATGTAAATGTCTCTAATACATGTAACATTATATTTATTATATATTTTCAAACTCATCAATTTTGGACATATCTTTTTTCTCTCTCAAAGTTTCCATTAAATTTGTTTTTTTCTCAATCATCAAAAAGGGCTGACTTTGTTGACAATGAAAGTTACGAAGTACCGGTACAATTGATTTTTTTGTTGCTGAGGTGTCTAGCCTTGAACTTGGAAAATAAAACAACTAACAAAAGTTAACTTCACTATGATACATAAAACTATATGTATTAAAATGTATTGACCAACAAGTAACAAGTGAACAGGTTACAAGTCGGATTTGACTTAAGAAAATTTAAATGCTCACAAATAGAGTTTGTAAACCATTATTTGTCCATATAACAAAATATAATGACTGTCTCTTTACTTTAAAAAAAAAACCACCTCTCACCCTCACCATTTCACATCCTGTGTGCCGCATGGAGCGGCGGCACAACGCAGTGTTGCACAATTTTTACCAATGCGTGCATGAACTTCGGTCTCACCAATCACGCGAAAAAAAAAAGACTCAGGTTCTACACCAGCCACCTCTTCGAACGCCGTACCTATGTTTGAGTCCAATACTCAAGTATACGGCGACAGGCTTAAGATAGTTAAAAGTGCCGGTAGTAAATAGCTTCTACTTCTGCTAACTTGGAAGTTCACTGCCCCAAAGCGCAACAATCGAAACAATTTTTTTTTTAAATATCAGGACTCCCAATGTTCCCTGGAAGGTTTGCTGGTTCGTGTGCAAAATCATATAGTTGTGTGCAAAGTTTTACACTCAAGCAACAATTTTGTGTGTGCAAAATTAAAAAATAATGAAACCCCCAAAAACAAACTTAAAAGAACTGAAGTGCAAAAACTTTAATATAAATAAATGCCGGTAAAGGAACAATAATTGAATAATTATAATCAGAAATGTTAATTTAACAATAATTCAATCAAAGCCCTATTTATTTCTGTTATTAGTTATCCCGTCGCTGGGTCAAGCAACGTAACTCCAACACAGCCACCACCAACCAATGGCCGCTAGTCATTTGATGGACTCATTTCTGGATTTTCCCAGCGATTTCCATCTTTTAATTTATAGACATCATCAAGTTTGATCTCATGTTCATCATTCTGATAGGATTTAATCCTCATGAGCACGTCTAAATGTAACTCATCCAGCCTATTTCTAGATTTTGTTTTTATATTTTCATTAGGCTGAAACCACGTTCAAAATCGGCGCTTGATGCAAGAGATGTAGGACACATATCCAACAACAGTATGGCCATGTCGCCAAATCGATCCTCATTTATTACAAAATCGAAACATCTCGTCGAAAGTCTGCATCAACCCACATTTCATTTTTTCTGCAAGCACACACCTTAAGTTACGGTACTGATCGCAGATTCATCATAGTTTTCCAGGAATCCAGAAAGTTATTCTTGGCCAAAATTAAAATCTGAAGTGTCGATTAAGGCTGACATCTCAAAGATTCGCCATTGCATCAACTCACTTGCAGGGAAACGAAAGTCCAGGTGCAAACATAAACATTCAACGAATTTTAGGATATAACTCATGTTTGTATTCTCGTCATTTATAAGCAATTCAGCAATCTCTCCGGATCAGTACACATTTTCACCAAGGTACTGGGCACGGAGCCTAGCGATCCTTGCTTTTTACAAATTGGTTTGCCTCAATCGTCGTAAGATTTTTTCTTTGTAGCAGCTTGCAAAATTCAGCAAGTTTACCAACAACTCTATCAAAGACAATCAGTGCAGTTCGAAACTGCGGAGGCTTTAGGTTCTTCAAACAGTACTTATGAACTGGATCATTATACAGGCCTATCTCACAGTATTCAGTCAACATGTGTATGTTTCTCAGCGATGCTCTTAAAGCAAAGTGCCGCGAAAGCCATCTGATTTCATTCAATGGTCTAAAGGCTACGGAATCAAATTCCAACACCTTAGCTAGTTTGGTAAACTTGGCTTTCCGTACAGTCGACCTACTGAACACTATTGTCACTGTCCTAAGGAATTTTTCAATGTCTGCCATTAAACTTGTATTTTTGCAAGAATCATCGATGCCTAAATCTTTACGACTAGCAACGCAATATTGTTCTAGTAGATGTGGAAAACGTCGGCGAAGAATTGATGCAACTCCATTGTTCTTGCCTAGAATAACAGGCGGTGGTTGAGAGCGAGGCTAGCTTGATCCGGTATGTATCGGTAACTACCGTATGTTCACGCATGGAAGTAAAAGGATCCACCCGTAAATAAGACGCGGGTTTTGACGAGTGTGTAAACAAAAATGACATAAGACGCACGCGGCCCTGGCCGTCTGCCGCACAAAGTTATATCCAGTGGTTTCCTTTCCTTTATGATAAATACAACTTCGTCCAATGTTTCATCACCCATCATCGGATGTAAACAAGACGTCATTTTCATTCGTAGTTCAACGGTAGATCAAAGAATTGTCTGAGGCAGGACGGCAAAGATAAGTGTCTGTTATTGTCGTACCGATCCTTCGTGTTCAAAAAAAGTACCTAATGTATTTTCGCGCATAGAAGACACCCCTGAAAATATGATTCACCCGTATACAAGAAGCGGGTTTGACGATTTGTGTAAAAAAATATTTTACATCAGACACACCTGTTGATAAGACGCATCCTGGGTGTGGGGTATGTAAAACTTTATATAAGACGTGTCTGATATACGCAAAAATACGGTATGTAAATCAATCGTTCTGCAACAATTTTAGAAGACACAATATAGATCTGAATCAAATTAAAAACATGGATGGATGAGTTATAAAAACTGTTTCATTCCGGATGCAGAGTGCAGCGTATTTGTTCGAATTTATTTTTATTCAATTTGCTGCGCTGATACTCAACACTGCTGCTCGGCGTCTGAGAGATAGCTACGCGGCCGCGCAGCTTAAAGGGAACATTGATCAGGATATGTATCAGTGCAACCTATGGCAAAATTTACAAGAATATATGGACCAGGAGAGTTAACTAAAACTAAAACAAAAGACTACAAGTCGGCTGTGCTCTCCTCGCTTCTTTCTGCCTGTGAAACATTGACGGTCTATCAACGCAGTCCAATAAACGTTGAACCACATTCAGAAAGATGACCATCAATGGCAGGAATGGGTCCCAGACAGCGAGGTACTCGCATAGGCACGTCTACCCAGCATTATCATTGGAATGCCGTCTCTGCTTCCCTGGACGGGGCTTGTGAGAATGTTGCACGACCGCTATCACCGAGCATTGTAATGCCGTCTCTGCTTCCCTGGACGGGGCCTGTGAGAATGTCGCACGACCGCTATCACCGCGCTCGAGCATTGTAATACCGTCTCTGCTTCACTGGACGGGGCTTGTGAGAATGTCGCACGACCGCTATCACCGAGCTCGAGCATTGGAAGGCGGTCTCCTGGAGGACAGAAGAAACGCTTTCAAGACAACGTAAAGGCCCCAAGAAAAGCGTTCGATATCAACCTCAAAGGATTTAGCATCGTAGCGTTCCTCTTTACACAAAGGCTCCATACAGCTATAAGCCAGCAGAATAGCAACTGCAAAAAAAAACAAAAAAAAAAAAAAAAAAAAAAAACAGAAAAAACAAAAAAACAACAAATAA